TTAGGCTAGCATTGGAGAGGCACAGAAATGGCTGGTTGCTTGTGGGTGATGGGGAGGGAGGTGGTGGGCACCATGGGAGGCAGGCAGGCAGGCCGACCTTGCAGGCTGGACACCAGGGCGTGGAGAGCGGCTTCGTTCCAGGCAGTGGGAAGCTGTTGCATGGGAAGAGTGATGTGCTCTGGTTTGTGTTGTTTTTTTTTAAAGATGGAGTCTGAGTCTGTTGTCTGGGCTGGAGTGCAGGGACATGATCTCAGCTTACTGCAGCCTGCGCCTCCCGGGTTTGAGTGATTCTCCTGCCTCAGCCTCCCGAGTAGCTGGGACTACAGGCACATGCCACCACGGGCCTGGCTAATGTTCTGTATTTTTAGTAGAGATGGCGTTTGACCATGTTGGCCAGGATGGTCTCGATCTCCTGACCTCATGATCCACCCACCTCAGCCTCCCAAACTGCTGGGATTACAGGCCTGACTCACTGCACCCAGCCCAAGCCTCCATCAGGTCGGGTGCCTGAGCTGACCCAAGCTGCAGAGAGGTGCTGTGGCCCCACTGTTACGGGTTTTCCAGATGTGCTGTGTGTGGTACAGTTGTGTGTATGTCATGTGCTTCTCCTTTGGTTGGGGTGGCGGTGACACAGCAGCGGGAATGTTTTAAAGAACAAATTGCAGACGGAAACAGGTGGTGCTGATACCAGAAACCCTGGGTGTGGGCAGCCAAATTGGAAAATGGGGCCGCTTCACAGAGCTTCGGTTGTTCTTAGCTTCCTTAACGACCGTGGAGTGGAATGAAAAACCTGAGCTGTTCCAGGCAAGTTCTGTATGGAGGGAAAATGACATCAATTTTACTCAATTACCATGTGACAGAGACAACAAGCCTCTCTCTGGTGTCCAGCAAGAGGAGCACAGTGCTAGAGCCATCACTGGTTCCCACACTCTGAGGGGTGTGGAGGCCCTGGAGCAGGGTGGGGAGGGTGTATTGTTCAACATAGATGGCCTGCCCACCCCCAGGGTCTCTGGTTCAGTGGGGCTGGGGTGGACTCCTGAATGTGCGTTTCAAACAAGTGCCGGGGTAATGTTGATGCTGCTGCTGCCTTGGGGACCCCACTCACAGGTACTGTGCTACAGAGCATAGCTCCCTCCTGTTGAGGGGTCCGAATGGCAGTGTATGCAATCTGAGAGTGTCACCCACAGGTCGCTTTCTGTCCCTGGGGAGGCCTGATGTCATACAGGTAGCTGGTGCCCTTGTGAAGCCCAGCCTGGCGTGGTGAGTAGCTCCTCTCCTTGTGTCCCCAACCATGGCTCCTTCTCTGGTCCCTGTCTGCCCTTCCCTTACTGTGTCCCCATGTTGCCTAGCCAGAGAAGCTGCAGCGCGCTGCTGGCAGCAGCATCTACCCCGCTAGGCCCCTAGGCTGCCAAGGAAATGTGACAAACGCAGCCAGGGCTCTGAACACTTGCTGGGACACAGCCAGAGCTGGACGCCGGAGACAGAATTTCCAGACGCTTGGCTGCGCTGTTCCCTCCCCAACCAGGTGTCTCTCTAAACATCATGTAGCCATTGCCTCCAAGACTTCTCCTGAGCATGAGTTTCCATGGGAAAAAAAAAAGATGAGGAGACTCTGTTACATGTCTTTGAGGCTTGTACCTTGTGTTTTGTGGCTGTCGGTGGATTTTCATCTGGCTCGGCTGGCTTTGGCGCAGGACCTCAAGGGAGATTCTATGTGTGCGCCTTGCCTTGTGCTCTGAGCTTTGTCAGAGGCTGTGGTCAGCACCTGGCAGGTGACAGTGCTTGAGCCATGCTCAGGCTTCGGTACCTGCTCTCTTGGATGTCATGTACCCTGGTTACATGTCAAGAGGAAATGTCATCTTACAAGGCTTGCTAGAGAACATTAGAGCATGAATGTACTTTTAATTGTAGTAAAACACACTTAATGTGAAATTTACCGTCTTTGCCGTTTTTAACTGTGTGCTTCGGTATTCCCACATTCACGTTGTTGTACAATTAATCTCTACAGCGTTTTTGTCTTGCAAAACTGAAACTCTGTACTCGTTAAATAGAGCATGAAGCTTTTTAACGAGTGAGTTTTGTACTTTTAATTGTAGTAAAATACGCTTAACATGAAATTTACCGTCTTAGCCATTTTTAGCTGTGTAGTTTAGTATTCTTACGTTCACCTTGTTGTTCAATCTTTGCAGCTTTTTTATCTTGCAAATCTGAAACTCTATACCCACCTTCCCATTTTTGCTTCCCCCCAGCCCCTGGAGCATGAAACTTTCCATCCCCCTTCCATCTCTCATCTTTTTGGTGGCATTTGTTTCACGGGAAGTGGCTGAGCTTTGGGTGAGTGGTGTATGGCGTGCTCTCAACTGTCATCAGTCTGGCAAGGAGAACATGGGTGATTTTGACAAGGGAGCTTATTCCTACAGTTTGGTTCTTCCTGAAACTTGCATTCTTCTTTGCGGTCTTTCCTTTTGTGGCATATTATAATATCACTAAGGTTTGCTTTATCCCTTTATTTCTTTAAATCTGTAGTATCCTTTAATGTTTTGGGTTTTGACTGGGATTGACATGACAGGCAGTGTTTAGATTGCAGTATGTAATCTCAGATAGCAACACTGCAATTTGAATTTTCTCCCTCATGACTTCAAGTTTTCTTTCTTCCTAATTTTCATGTTTTGAACTGAAGTTTACCAGTTTGGACCCAGTTCTGATGCTGAATATTTTAGGGAAAATTATTGGGTGGTTCTTGAACTATCAAAACAAGGAGCAAGGAGGGGGAAGGCAAGTTAGGTGCCTCCCCCCTCCTCTCCCAGGCTTGGGGATAGGTCATGAATACATGACTTCAGAAGTGGCCTGTGGATGGTCCAGTATTAAAACACACACACATGCACGCGTGCGCGCACGCGCGCGCACACACACACACACACACACACACACACACACACACAAACAAAAACAAAACAAAAAAACAGCTACTTGTTCATGAGGAAAGGAGATTTTGGAAATAACAAAGGTAAGAACAGAACAATTGGATGTGTTCTATTTTTCCTTGTGGGAAGGAATATTACATCACACAAAGATAGGTTTTTTAACTGTAATAATGGTTTTCAAAGAGTAAAATTAAAGCAGTGACAAAGCTGATGCCTTTGTCACGGAGATGCTCACACACTGCGTCTCCGGCTTCCAGCACTTGTGGGCTGGGTGCGGCCGCGTTGGGCTGCTCAGCTTGGCCTGAGTTGACCCTGGCTGTGCTGTCTACCATGATCATCGCTTCCTGCTGCCGCTGCTGATGCATTGATAGCGTGAACACAGCACCAGCTGGAGAAAGTTTTAATGCTCCTGCTGGAAAATTCTCCCTCCTGTGTTACCTGAGTTATGTCTATAGGTAAAAACCAAGTAGAATATTCAAAAGATTTTATTCTTGTTCCCTCCACACTTTCTAGCTGCCTCTGCCTTTAGTATGCTCTCTGCATACCTCTCACGTCCTGCTTTCTCTGAGTTACGGAAAAGGAACTTGGCAGAGTCATAATGACCTGGGATTGTCAGCTGCAGGGGGCTTGTTCCATCCATGTCACCTTTGAATCCTTCACCTTATTCCAAGTTCCCTTCTCTTCCTCTTGAATCACTTTCCTGTGATTGCTTGATGTTGAGGTCCTTACAGTTAAGTTCTGCATCAAAATTGAGACAGATAGGTCCTTTTCTGTTACTGTGATTTATTTCAGTGACAAACTTTGGTTACAGTGGGACTTTAGGGAATAAAGAAGGAATGTGGACCTTTTGGCTGGACAGGGCTGAGTTTGAATCAAGTTGTTGTGCCTGGCTGTGGGTCTCTCGCAGGTGGCTTTACCTGAAGGAACTGGTTTTCCTGTTTCCCAGCTGAGAGTGGTGGAGATGCCAGTTTTGGTGGGCGTGGCAAGGGTTAGCGATGACACAGGCTGGCGTGCAACAGGCGTCTGGCTCCCCCATCCCCTTCATGAAGGTCCCCTTTTAGCGCCAAGCATGAAAGCTCAGAATGGAAGTTTTCAGCTTCCTGCCAGAATCATCTAACAGCCCTTTCCTTTTTTCAACACTACCTTTCCTATACATGTTTTTTATGTATATTTCCGGCATAGCTTTATAGACATACATAAGCATACTGTATATGTATGTTTGTACACGTGTATGATTCTAGAGATTTCTCGTATACATTTTTCTTTTGGCAAATTCATTTTTAAGGAAATTTTTGGCTTTCTTGGAAAACCTTTTAAATAAAATCTGGGTTATGTTTTTCATATTTGTATTTTTTGTTTCAGTAAGAGTTGATGTATGAACACTGGCCTTTGAATTTTACATAATTGTTCTTCAGTTTTTTTTAATATTGGAAGAGCACAACCTGTATTTTTAATACTTTTGTGAATGGAATTTGTATTTTAGAACAATTTTAGATGTACAGAAAAATTGATGAGTTAGTGCAGAGAGCTGCCATACGTAGTTTCTGCCGGTATGAGCCTCTCACGTTGGAATGGTATGTTGGTTGTCATTAGCGGACTAATACTGATCGAGTGTTATAAACTAAAGTCTGCCCTTCATTCATGTCCCCTTATTTTTATTTATTTATTTATTTATTTTTTTTGGGACGGAGTTTCGCTCTTGTTACCCAGGCTGGAGTGCAATGGCGCGACCTCGGCTCACCGCAACCTCCGCCTCCTGGGTTCAGGCAATTCTCCTGCCTCAGCCTCCTGAGTAGCTGGGACTACAGGCACGCGCCACCATGCCCAGCTAATTTTTTTGTAGTTTTAGTAGAGACGGGGTTTCACCGTGTTGACCAGGATGGTCTCGATCTCTTGATCTCGTGATCCACCCGCCTCGGCCTCCCAAAGTGCTGGGATTACAGGCTTGAGCCACCGCGCCCGGCCATGTCCCCTTATTTTTAAGTAATCTCTTTTCTCTCTCCCAAGTTCCCATCCAGGATACTACTATATTTTTTAAAAATTTTACATTTATATCTTTTTTTCCTGTCTTGATAGGTGTACAATATGTTTCAGCACCAGAGCCTGGGGATTAAAATTAATATTCAAGTGACCAAGCTTGTCCTGCTGCAACAACGTCCGGTGAGTCCCCACGGGCACCTTTCAAGCATGCAGAAAATGTGGCCTGGCCAGAGCTTCCCAGTTGTTGTTGAATGCTAAGTGGGGCTCCAGGGCGTTGCCGGTCTTCAGTGCCCTCTGTGGCTTTGCCAGCGTGAGAGGGAAGCTGGCATCAGTACTGGTGGCGTGGTGTGAGGGCGGGCTGTTGAGAATCTCAAGCCTGAGCAGGAAGCCCACACACATCCCCCTCCTCTCCCTGAGGCTCTCGCATGGTCCCTCTAGGTTACATCCAAATCTTAACGGGGAGGTCTCTGACATTGTGGCTTCCCTTCTTCTTTTCCTTTGAGACGGACTCTCGTTCTGTCACTAAGGCTGGAGTGCAGTGGCGTGATCTCGGCTCACTGCAACCTCTACCTCCCAGGTTCAAGCCATTCTTCTGCCTCAACCTCATGAGTAGCTGGGACTGCAGGCACCTGCCACCATGCCCAGCTAATTTTTTGTATTTTTAGTAGAGGCAGGGTTTCACTGTGCTGGCCAGGATGATTTCACTCTCCCGAAATTGTGATCTGCCTGCCTCAGCCTCCCAAAGTGCTGGGATTACAGGCATGAGCCACCGCGCCTGGCCTGGTGGCTTCCCTTCTGAAACTGCATCAGAGCTTTGACCCTAGGTTGGGTTCACGGCAGCATTGTTTTCTGGTCTTTCAATGGAGCACCTTCCTATGTGCTGATGTTACCTGGCGAGTCGACTTCGTCACCGTGAGACTGAGGGAGCATTGCTTGGTTTGGGATACTGTTCTGTCTGAAGAGAAGAAGATGCCTTTTCTTACTAGCATCGTCTCCATTCGCACCTATATGTAAGGCTCCTGATGATCTCTGCAGATTGATGCTATGCTGCTTACCCACTAGCATCAGGCTTTTCTTAAGAGGGCCGTGAGTCATTAAATGGTGTCTCAACGAGTGACTGTCTCCACCTTAACGTCCTTGCCGTAGTCTCGATCTAAACTCTGGCCCCCCAGGCGTTTGTGTCTCTAACCGTCCCCCGATTTCTTTCAGGCTAAGTTGCACATTGGGCACCATGGTGAGCGGTCCCTGGAGAGCTTCTGTCACTGGCAGAACGAGGAGTATGGAGGAGCGCGGTACCTCGGCAGCAACCAGGTTCCCGGCGGGAAGGACGACCCGCCGCTGGTGGACGCTGCTGTGTTTGTGACCAGGTAAAATGGGATTTGGCCTGTAACTGACATGCTAGTGGGAAAAGATGTTTCCCTTCGGAGAGGAAACTGGCACGTTGTTGGGAATTCAGGCTTGGAAATCGGACCTTGGGCCACCTGTCTGGGTTTTGTTTTCCTCATCAGTAAGAGGGGGTTAATCAGGGTGTCCACCTCTGAGGTAGGTACAATGCCTGGGCATGTAGCTGTGTCCCTCTTGTCCCTCCTCCATTTTCACACGGCGTTCTCCAAACTTCCCTCTTCCTGTAAAGACGCAGGTCACTGGACTGGGGCTCACTTCACTCCAGCGTGACCACATCTTAACTTGATTCTACCTGCAGTGATTCTTTCTCCACGTGAGATCACATTCACGGGTACTGAGGGTTAGCAGTTGGACCATTTCTTTTTGGGGGTTACCTCCACAGATGTCAGTGTGGCTGTGTCATTTTTCCTTATGTCTCGGCCCTCTCTGAGGAACACTGATGTTTCTTTTGGTTGCTTGACTTTAACAACATAAACAATGTGTTACGTGTTCATACCAAAAATCTCCCTTTATAAAATACACAGAAATACTTCTTAGTAACTTAATCCATTAGGTTAAAAACACCAGCTTTTAGTTAGAGTCGCTAGGAATAGGTCAACATTGAAAGCTAGGGACTTTTTTTTCTGAGACAGAGTCTCCGTCTGTCACCCAGCTGGAGTGCATGGCACAGTCTTCGCTCACTGCAGCTTCTGCCTCCTGGGTTCAAGCGATTCTCCTGCCTCAGCCTCCTGAGTAGCTGGGATTACAGGCGTGTGCCACCATGCCTGGCTAGTTGTTGTATTTTTAATAGAGATGGGGTTTCCCCATGTTGGCCAGGCTGGTCTGGAACCCCTGACTTCAGGTGATCCGCCTGCCTCAGCCTCCAAAGTGCTAGGATTACAGGCATGAGCCACTACGCGTGGTCCTCCACAGAGTTAAATCTCACTTAACATTTGGTTTTGAGTCAAGAAATGCTTTTGGTTGCATCTCTCATGCCATGTGCTGCAAACTCTGAGCCCCATGACGTCTCAAAGTCATCTGGGAAATTCTGTGATCCCTGTCCCAGGCACCGGACAGTGTAGCTTTCATTCCTTTCAAAAATCCCAGAATAGGCCAGGCACAGTGACTCATGCCTGTAATCCCAGCACTTTAGGAGGCTGAGGTGGGCGGATCACCCGAGGTCAGGAGTTAGAGACCAGCCTGGCCAACATGACGAAACCCTATCTCTACTAAAATACAAAAATTAGCCAGGTGTGGTGGTGCAGGCTTATAATCTCAGCTACTCGGGGGGCAGAGGCAGGAGAATCGCTTGAACCCAGAAGTGAGCCAAGATCGTGCCATTTTACTTCAGCCTGGGTGACAAGAGCGAAACTCCATCTCAAAAAAAGAAGAAGAAAAAAACCCCAGAATAGACACAATGCCACCACTTGTTACCAAATAGATGACTGCTCACTCTCTGTGGAGGTTTGTCAATTTCCAGCCCTAAGCATGCTTTGTTACACATTTAACAGTGTGCTTTGTATGTGGCAATCCTTTAGGAGAATACTTGCTTCTTCTACAGGGTATGATTAAATATAAAATCCATATATAAGCCCTATCATGGACAATCAGAATTATTGAAGAGACATTGTGGAAAAAGTGTCTTTAGTAATTCTGATTGTCTATGATATGGCTGATGCGCTAGCAGGCATTAAGGACCAAGGGTGAACATGACCTGGTGTATGATTTGACCTGGTCTTGCCCACTCCAGTGAGCACTGGGAGCCTCCAGGCACCACCTTCCTTAAGAGCAGGGGCCGCCCACACCCACTGACCAGAGGCTGCTGTTGCTCAAGTGACTTTGCAATGGCATTTGGGGACTGTGAGGCTTTCTGTAGAATGCCCTGGGTATTGCAGTGTTCAGGTTAAGGGTACCACAATTTGAGCGCGGATTCAATCTGGGGAGCAAGCAAGAGTCCTTGGGAACTATGTCTGTGCATGATTTTAGGTTAATGGCGCTGATTTTCCAAATGGTAATTATATTTGGTTTGAAAGATTTTCCTAGAGGAACTCTTAAACAACGTCATCTGTGGAATATGCAGCTAAACTCCCACGGTTTCTTCTTTGAATATAGCTTTAAAAATACTATAGAAAATCTGCAGTTCCTTGTGTTTTGTTAAATAATCGCTCATGGGAATTTTTCCCTCTATTGAAAAAAAATTTCATCTCTTTCGTGCTGTTTCCTTTCAATGAGTGTAGAAGGAACTTGTAAGTAGTCTGGATTTGGGGATGAATGGCGTTTGTTTTCCAGAGGCAATAAATGTCACCAAGATGACTGTTGACAAAGCATCTGTATTAGCCCTTTTACAAAAAGACCTCAGCTGTCGTGATACACCCTCACTGCAGAGATACTGTAAATTAGACTTCTTTTCATCTTCCACCCTCCCAACTTAGAGGACATATTTTGTGTAGAAATGTTCTTTTCTGTACCTCACACTTTACAGTGGCTGATGTGAAACAAAATGCCATGGTTTGGCTGTGTCCCCACCCAGCTCTCATCCTCAATTCCCCCATGTGGTGGGAGGGACCTGGTAGGGGTAACTGAATCACGAGGGCAGGTCTTTCCTGTGCTCTTCTCGGGATGGTGACAAAGCCTCACAAGATCTAATGATTATACAAGACGGAGTTTGCCTGCACAAGCTCTCTCCTCCTGTTTGCGACCATGTGAGACGTGCCTTTGCCTTCCATCATGATTATGAGGCCTCCCCAGCCATGTGGAACTGTAAGTCCATTAAACCTCTTTGTTTTGTAAATTGCCCAGTCTTGGGTATGTCTTTATCACTGGCGTGAAAACGGACTAATACACAAAACAATGGAAAATGACCAGTGTTGGAAGAATGTGGAGAAATTGGAACTCTTTTGTGAACCATTGATGGGAACGTAAGATGGTACAGCCACTTTAGAAAACCATATGATGGCTTCTTGAAAAATCAAAACGGGAGTTACCATATAATCCCACTTCTGAACCCTAAAGAACTGAATCCCCAGATAATTGAAAGCAGAGACTCGGATGTTTGGACACTCATGTTCACAGCAACGTTATTCATGACAGCCAAAAGGTGGGAGTGACCTAAATGTCCATGGATGGAAGAATGGATAAACAGACATGCTATCTATGTACAAGGGAATATCACTCAGCCTTAAAAAGGAAGGAGATTCGGACACGGGCTGCAACTTGGATGAACCTTGAGGACAAATGCTGCATGATTCCACTTACATGAGGTACCTACGGTGGTCAGATTCATAGAGACAAAGCATGGTGGTTGCTAGAGGTTGGGGAGAAGGGAGAGTGGGGAGCTGTTATTTTGTGGGTACAGAGTTTCAATGTGGGATGCCAGTTTTGGAGGTGGATAGCGGTGATGGTTGCGTGACAGTGGCTTTAACATGACTGAACTTTACACTCAGTGGTTAACATAGTAAATTGTATGTTCATGTATTAGTACAATAAGAAGTTTTATAATAAAAATGTTCTGTTCTAACTAAGCACGTTGGAGAGGGGTCTTAATTGCATGGGAGTGGTTCTGGGTGAGGATGCTGGGGGCATGGGCAGTGTCCTCATCCAGGGACACAGAAAACAAGCTTTCAGTTGGCCTCTTGCATAGCTGTTACCTGTCGCCATCCTGGGAGCCTGAGCCGCCTTCTACGTTACGGGCTGATGCCTTGAAGCTATGTCAGCGATCACGGTCTATCTCACCTGCTGCCATGGGGCTACTGGCCTGAACGGATCAGTGCATGGCCCCTCCTTTGCGTCCTCACAGATGTTAAATTGAGGATCTCTTTCAAGGCCGGGAGAGGCAGCTCTGGAGTCGGGCAGGAAGCTGAGCTGGCGGGGAAGCCGTGTTTAATAACTAGAAGTAGAGAGCTGCAATTCCCTAGGTTGGGATAATAACAGGCTGATGATTTCACACGGAGATTGGGTGTGAGGCAGCTGCTGCCCTGGAGAAGCTGTCCTTTTCTCCCACCGTAACCCGAGCTGAGGCTGCCCGGGCTGGGCTGCGCTCAGGGGACAGCCTCCTGGTCCTGAGTTAGGACCGGCCAACATGAGGGTTTCCTCCCGTTGAAGGTTCTTTTTTCCCCTTATGGGCTGTGCTCGAGCTGGACAGTGTATTCTCCCAGACATCCCCTGACAGGTGGCTGCCGTGGAGGACGTGAGCATGACGTCATGTCCAGCAGGAGCTGCTGAGCCAGAAGCGGTGGAAGCTGGGTTTTCTGCAGCTGCGTCTGCGGCTAGGAAGGACCCCTGAGAGGACTGGGCCTGGGACCACATGGAGTCCACACAGAGGCCTCAGGGCATAACTGACCCAGGAAGCTGGGAACACAGGACTCCTCCCTGAGCCTGGGCCTGTGCTCCTGGTGAGAGTGCCCAGGAGACGCCAGAGCAGACACAGGTGGCCAGAGGCTGCACCACCAGGGTCCCTCCGGCCAGACTGTCCCCTCCAGCGTAACACTGCCTCGCTCCCCAGGACGCCCTCCCTCCCCCTTCTGCCAAGGAGCCCGCTCGCCAGGCTTTGCTCGTGGTGAGGTCTCAGCAGGCGTCCGTGGAAGTTGCTGCTCTGCTCTCTGGCTTGCAACGCTGGTGAGGCCATGGCTGCTGGGTAGCTTGCCGGGCCTATTGGAAGGGTCTGGAAACGTCAGCCAATTAATCAAAGAATGTATGAAGTCCCAGCTGTGTGCCTGGCTGTGGGTTATGCACAGGACCAGCTGCGTAACTTGTGGCGCCCAGTGCAAAATGAAAACATGGGACCCCATGACCCCAGAGCGTTAGCCCAGGGCGGGGGTCAGACACCCACAAAGCTAGCCCTGCCAGGCAGATTGACGTCAGCCTTGAGGAAGGCACCTTGGAGTTTCAGTGGACGTAGGGGCTGGGAGCCGAGTCTAGCCCTCATTTTCTTTTCATTCATGGAGTGAACCCCACAGTCCCTGCCTGGGAGTTTGATGTGAGTTGGCAGTGGGATGACATAAGATGGGGGTGCCTCTGATAATGAATGGAATAAAGCCAGGATCCCTGGAGATAGAGCCGCCCCTGCAGGCAGGTGACTTGCTGCTTCTCTTCTGAGAAAGGGCCTTGAACAGGAAGGAGAGAAGAGATTCAGATTCGAATGACCGTTTCCAGACAGGCCTGTAATTGAGTGTAGCTGCCCTTCCCTGAGCTGGACACACCTCTCGCCTCTTCCTGGTGAAGCAGCTGGTGATGCCTCGTCTGTCGTTTGAGACTGCCTGTTTCCCCTCAGGGCAGCCACTGGATAGGAGAGCACGTGGAGGGGGGTCCTCCGCCAACAGGGCTGGCTGTCTCCACAATGGCACCCGTCTCGCCCTTGGCCTTGGCCTGTGGCTTCACCTCCATTCTGTCCGACTGAGGCCTCCGTGCCTTTCTCCCTTTCTCCCTTTGCCCAGCTAAGGCAATGGGCAAAGCTTTAAACACGTCCTGTTCACATCTCTGAGAAACTGTGGAGCGAGGTCTTAGGTCAGGCTGGTCTCTGCGTGTGTGTGTGTGTGTGTGTGTGAGAGAGAGAGAGAGAGAGAGAGAGAGAGAGTGTTTTGCTCAAAATACCGGAATGGGAAGGGTGCCAGATCAGTAACGTTGGACTGGAGCTAGATAGGTATTGGGCCAGTGAGCACACCTGTGCCCCTACTTTTAATTGGCTTCCTCTCTATCACCTATTCCTTCATCTTCTAAAAGTGAGTCTGATGGAAAAATCAAGTCACTAGGCCTTTTCATCTCTGTGATATTTCTTCTCCGTTTTGGTTTTGGAGTGACGTTTTGGATAGTGTGGATCTCAAGCTTTCTTTGGGCCCTGAGAGAAGATGAGCATGGGGCCCAGCAGGGGCCATGTCTGGGCCAGGTATGGCTCCTCACCAGGCTCCCAGGCTGAGTCCTGCCCCAGCCAGCCCTCTGGTCAACTCTTGACCGTGGAAACTTACGAAGAACCATGGGAATGCTCCATTGTTAGAGAAGAAGAGCCAGGCCCCTGGTTTCACCACAAGAGGCCAGATGATCCCCTTGTACCTGCAGAACCGGGCTGGACCAGGTTTCAAGCATCTTTGCTGTCTCATTGGTCCACAGGTGCCCACCCGGGGGATCCTGAGGAGATTTAAGGAATACAGTTTTACTTTCCTTCAACGTTTACGTTCTGGGGTACATATGCAGGATGTGCAGGTTTATTACATAGGTAAACATGCACCATGGTGGTGTGCAGGGCAGATCAGCCCATCACCTAGGTGTTCAGCTCAGCATCCATTAGCTGTTCTTCCTCACACTCTCCGTGTCCCTCACCCCTGCAGCTGGCCCTGGTGTGTGGAGTTCCCCACCATGAGTCTCATGTGTTCTCCTCATTCAACTCCCACTTACAGGTGAGAACATGCAGTGTTTGGTTTTCTGTTCCTGCATCAGTTTGCTGAGGATAGTGGCCTCCAGCTCCAACCGTGTCCCTGCAGAGAACATGATCCCATTCTTTTTTATGGCTGCATGGTAGAGGAATACAGTTTTTAAAAATGACTTTTTGTTGTCTTCTTGTGAAAGCGACACATGGTCACTACAGCATTAAAAACCAGTTGCTGCCTCAGTAGAGCGGCTTGGGGAAGCCACTGCAGTTGGATGCTATTGTCTGAGAATTGTCTCTGATCAGTGACTTGGCAAACATCTTCCAAAACGTTTTCAGCCGTCGCAAGGAGTCCTTCTAGTGACTGTTATGTATAGAATCGTTCCTCTGTAAAAGAAGGGTCTCGTGTGGTGTAGGTGGACCTACCCCTGGGAAATCTGGATGGGTTACTGTTGCTGAACACGGCTGCCTGTTACCGTCCACTGTGGCCTGTGGCCACTGAAGGATAACCTCATGGGATGACTACTTGAGGGTAATTGACAATGTTTTCTTCTCCCTTCCTTGGGGATACTGCATATACCTGACGATGGCTTTTATTTTTTTTTTTAGGACGGATTTCTGTGTACAGAAAGATGAACCATGTGACACTGTTGGTAAGTTGAGACTTGAAATAATAATCCGAGGGGCTGATGCACCCTGGGGGAATCGGGCTTGATCCCAGGGGAGGAACCCTCCTGAAACAAGCGGCGAACTTCTGTTGCCTCTCTTCTTGTAAGCTGGTCTTTCACTTTCCCTTTTTAATTTTCCTGTAATGTTTCGAAGTTATTCATGGCAGAAGGCATCTAGATGAAGGGTCAGTAAGGAAGGCACGACAAGTGATGCCAAGGGGAGGAGCCACCAGGCTGCTCCAAGGTGTCTGCAGTTGGGACCGCATTTGGCTCTGGGCATTTCGGTCACCCAGGCAGGAGAGGCAGCCCGCTAACTTACACAGTTGTGGTCGTGAGGTGGAAGCTTAGCAGGTTCTTCTCATGCATACAAATGACCTTTATTGAGTTTCACTCTAAGAGGTGAAGGGTGACTCTGTATTATAAGCCATCTGATCTTGGCTGGGCGCGGTGGCTCACACTTGTAATCCCAGCACTTTGGGAGGCCGAGGTGGGCAGATCACAGGTCAGGAGATGGAGACCATCCTGGCCAACATAGTGAAACCCTGAGATAGCAAGGGGAGAGATGCCAGATGTAGGTGATGGGGAGGAAGGCAGCAAATCACACTGCCACGTGTGTACCTATGCAACAATCTTGCAAGGTCTTCACATGTACCCCAAAACCTAAAATGCAATAAAATAAATAAATGGGAAAAAAATAAATAAAAAAGTACAAAATAAAAGTACAAAAAAAATTTTATCTGGGTATGGTGGCGGGTACCTGTAATCCCGGCTACTCAGGAGGCTGAGGCACAAGAATCACTTGAACCTGGGAGACAGAGGTTGCAGTGGGCTGAGATCGTGCTCCTGTACTCCAGCCTGGTGACAGAGAGAGACTCCATCTCAAAAAAAAAAAAATAAATCTGATCTCTTCCACCTGCTTTGCTGCCGTGCTAATCGCTTTTGAGTGTGACAACACTGAAAGTGGCATGCAGTGCTGGGAAAACACCCCTTCCTTCTTCCCCTTCTCTACCTTCCCCTCCCCTTCCCCTTCCCCTGCCATTTTCCTTTCTCACCCGCCTTCAGTTCTGCCTGGTTTGCTCTTGACCTCTCTTGGGTTTCAAACAGAAACCATTCTTTGAGTGTAGGAACAGAGTGTTTGGTTAAAACGGGAAATGTCAAGGGTGTGTCCAGTTTTGCCATAACACAAACCTTTGTTCATCGGGAGGGTGAAATATCATATAGCGTGGCCAGAATAAAAATTGTGAATCGTGTATGTTTAGAGTTGTAGTAAAATCAAAGAAAGCAATATAGGTGTGAAAAATACATAATATTATGAAATTGACATGTGGAACAGCTGAGCTGCTCATGGAGCCCCGGCAGTGAGTCATCCCAAGCCTTTGTTCTGGCCCTGGCGGGTACCAGCTGGGTGGCCTTGGGCATGTACGGTTTCTTAATCCATCAAATGATCACTTTGGATTAGGTGACTCACAAGAGCCTTTGAAATCTAATATAATGATAACTGTCTTTCATGTCACATTTTAGAGTTTACAAAATTATTATTATTATTATTATTATTTTTTTTTTTGAGACTGATTCTCACTCTATTGCCCAGGCCGGAGTGCAGTGGCACCATCACGGCTCACTGCAACCTCCACCTCCCAGGTTCAAGCGATTCTCTTGCCTCAGCCTCCCAACTAGCTGGGATTACAGGCACCCACCACCACACCCAGCTCATTTTTGTATTTTTAGTAGAGACAGGGTTTTACAAGCTGGCCAGGATGGTCTCGATCTCTTGACCTTGTGATCCATTTGTCTTGGCCTCCCAGAGTGCTGGGATTCCAGGCATGAGCCACTGTGCCCAGTGCAAAATGGTTTTTAATAGATTATATTTCATTGGTCCTCTAAACAGATCCGAGAGCAAGGTGTTACAAAGCAAGCAGCCAACTCCTGCTTTGTTATTTGGGGGCTGTCTCTGTGAGGGATTGCTAGAGAAAGGCCATGTGAAGTATGCTTCCTGGGAGGGCTGGCTGACGCAGGCCCAGGTCAGGTTGGGGCCATGGAGACGTGTACGGGCCGACCTCTGTCTGTCAACAGGACTGCCAGGCATGTGCTGTCCCTAGGAGTGACTGCTGTGTCCCTGGGTTCACAGGTCAGCCTTGCTTACAGTCCCCTTGTCCGGGGTTGCCTCTGCTCTGTGCTCCTCCTCCTTCCTGGCTTGCCCCGCGGAGACACAATCCATCCATCATGTAGCCCTTGCCTGCACTTCTCTCCTGGAAGCCTCTGCACTCCACAGAGCCCAGCTCTGGCCTCCAGGCTGTGTGGCCTTCAGTACCTGGCACTGGATAGAGAGGCTTGGTCACTGCTGTTGGTTGGTTGATTAAATGAAGGAGGACTGACTGACTGAATGAATGAATGAATGCAGATGAAGGAACTCTGATTCCGGTGATCACTAAAACTGTGTATATAATGGTGTGGTTTTCTTCCACAGGATTGATAGCTAGCTTTCAGTTTCTTTTGAGTATATAAAAGCTTTCTTTTTTCATGGGAATATGCCATTAATTGTGGTTACGTCCTGTATTCGGGCCGCCGGTGAAGAGCAGGCAGCTGCTTCGAATCAAGCATCTTCTTGGCTGAGCCACATCACCATACCACTTTTTATTGGTTTGCTCGGGCTGCCATAACAAAATGCCACATAAACTGAATGGGTTCAACAGCAGAAATGTGTTGTCTCCCAGATCCGGAGGCTGAAGTCCGAGATCCAGGTCCGGCAGATTTGGCCTCTGCCCTTGGCCATTGGTGGCTGCCTTCTCCCTGAGTTCTCTCTGGCCTTGCCTCTGTGAGAGCACCTGCCTGTTGTCTCTCCTCCTTCTTAGGAGGACGCCAGTCATACTGGCCTAGAGCCCCGCCCCATGACGTCATATAACTTAAGTCACTTTTTACGGGTCCTCTCTCTCAATAGAGTCACATTGGGAGTTAGGGCTGCTACATAAGAATTTTGTGGGGACACAGTCAATCCATAGCACTACTCATTTGATGCTTAGCCACATGCTACCTGGGACTGTCTTATGTCCTCATTTCCCCTCCCAGGTGCCTGTGTCTCACTTCCTCAACAAGGAAGCCTTTTATTGTTCATGTGACAGCTGGTTAGCTGAGGGCAGACCCAGCCTCGCTCCTGGGCCCCGTCGTGTGCTCTTCTGACCTCGGTGATTTTCAGCTTCTCCAAAGAACTGATGCCTTTAAAAAAAAAATTAAACTTATATGGTGTTTTATTAATATACCTATTATTTTTATGTCATGTTTTGCTTGTGCAGATGATTAAACCAGTCAGTAAGAACAGTGAGATGATTTAATGAGCAGAAAAACATGAAAACCAGGGTTCTGGCAGTTGTATATTGTTCTCAGCATGCAACTTGTTGATGGACTTTAAAATGTTTTTATTTTGAATAACTATACAGTCACAATAACTGCCAAAAACAGTACAGAGGGGTCTGTTGTACCTTTCACCCAGCTTTGTCGAGTGGTAACATCTGACATACGTGCAGTGCACTCTCAGAACCAGGAGGTGGATGGGCCCGATACTGTGAGCTAGACTACAGCTCTTCAGGCTTACTGGTTTCTGCACACACTCATTTCTCGGCATGCTTTTGTGTAAAGTTCTGTGACGTCTTCCTACATGTACAACTTTATCCACCCACCATGACAATCAGGAACAGAAGGCTCCGTGGCGGCCGAGGTGTCCCCTTCGACCACCTCTTGAGAGCCACCCCCTGCCACCCTCCTTTTCCCTCACCACTGGCGCCCATTTATCTGTATTCCATCTCTGTGATTTTTCTCATCCAGTTTATTTTTCATATTTTGTTTTGATTGCACAGAAAGGAAAAATAATCTGAGTCACGTAGGTGCATGCTTGCCCGTGCTAAGGGATTTTCAGCAGCTGCCTTGAAACCTCAGGATCCGGCTGTAGCAGGAATTGCTGTCCTGAGTTCTGCAGGAAAGGAATTATCTGGCACCCAAGATGACTAGGAAAGCTTTGGGTTGCCAGTGTTGTGTAATTTGGTACATAACAGCGTTTTTTTGTTGTTGTAGTTTTAATTAGGGTGCAGCTCACATATATGTAAAGAGGGCAAAACTTGACGGATTTTTAATTTATGCCTATATGCTTCTTTTTTGGCTTAATCTGATATTGATTGAAATCAATATACAGCAATATTTTGTATTCTGTTTTAGTCTGTGCTTTTTTGATACTGTGGTCAAGTATACATAACATTTGCCACCAGAAGCATCTTTAGGTGTACAGTCCAGTGGCATCCAGTACACCCACGTAGTTGTGCAGTCTGACCCTTGAAACCACAAGTCAGATATAGGTGAAGAATGTTAGCCACCAGAAGGCTCCTCCTGCCCTGACCCCCGCCGTCAGTAGTCCCCCAGGAGGAACCGATTACTGTTACGTGTTTTAATGAGTGTTCTTAAAATAGTTTAAAATAGATTTCAGAGCTCAGTTTGAACGCAGCGTTGGAATAACCTCTCAGGCACTTTAAGGGTTTGGGGCATCCATGAAATACACTATCCTTCTGCATCAGCCCGTTTGTCTGCATTGTCCAGTCTGCATTCTTGATTGTGAGGAATGAGCCACGGGTACCTATCAGAAGGGGGCTGCCACCAGGCTGAGAGCCTGGCATGGAACACAGGCAACACCCAGGGGAGCTCTGGAAGTGGGGAGGCCACTGATAGAACATAGAGGTGAGTGACAAGGCCTGTCTGGTCCATGTGCCACCATGGCTGGGGAGTGAACTCCATCTTCCCCCAGCAGCCCAGGGTCCTGTGGTCTACCCCTCCCCGCCCCACCTCCACTGGTGTGTGGGAGATAATGGCCTCTAGGCTTCCATAGGGGAGGCAACAGCACTCCCAGGAAGAATGCATGTTGGGGGTGAAGGTTCCCAAAGGGGGTCATTGTGCTTTAGCCAGGTGGGAGGATGGATGCCAGACAGTCCAAGGTGACCGATGTC